CCGCGGGGCCCCCGCCCCACGAGGCGCCCAGGGGTCCAGGGTGCGCAGCAGGCCCCGTGGTGCACAACCACCATGCTCGGCCAGAGCCACCCTGGGCCCTGGGCCGAGGCCCGGAGGGTCCGACGCGCCATCCCGAGGTCCCGTCGGGCGGGGCCAGGACGAGAATACAAATCCGCTCCAGAACGCTTTGGGAAGGCCGCGGCGCCCGAGACATCCTCCACTGGGATGACCGTGGGGGTTTCTAAATGAATAGGAGGGTTACAAGTGGATGCCAAGGTGGGTTAGATCTGGCCATCATGGCTTATAAGTAGGTTACAAGTGCCCCGAGTGGCTTAGGACTTAGGGGGTTAACGATCCAGGCTAAGTGGACTGCGCCCACTCGGGGCATTTGCAACCCCCTAAGCTACTCGAGGCATTTGTAACCCACTTATAAACCATGCTGGGCCAGATATAACCCACCTTGGCATCCACTTGTACCCCCCCTTATCCATTTAGAACCCCCACGGTCATCCCAGCAGAGCCGCCAGATTCCAGAGATTCTCGATTGCTCCCCGCCGATGTGATCCTCGTCCTGGCTTCGTATTCAGGGAGCGGCGGGCACGTCCATGGCGGAGATGGCTTCGGCAGAGGGCCGCCGCCCCAAGCAGGGAGAGGGGGAGGGGGAGGAGGAGGAGGAGGAGGAGGAGGAGGAGGAGGAGGAGGAGAGGAGGAGGGGGAGGGGAGGTGGAGAGAAGGAGAAGGACGAGGAGGAGGAGGAGGAGGAGGAGCAGGAGGAGGGGAGGAGGATCAGGAGGAGGAGGAGGAGGATCAGGAGGAGGAGGGAGGAGGATCAGGAGAGGATCAGGAGGAGGGAGGAGGAGGAGGAGGACGAGGAGAGAGGAGTAGAGAGGAGGAGAGAGGAGGAGAGAGGAGGAGAGAGGAGGAGAGAGGAGGAGGAGGAGGAGGAGGAAGAGGAGGAAGAGGAGGAGGAGGAGGAGGAGGCGGAGGCGGAGGAGGAGGAGGAGGAGGAGGAGGAGGAGAGGAGGAGGAGGAGGAGAGAGGAGGAGGAGAAGGAGGAGGCGGATGAGGAGGAGGAGGAGGGAGATCAGGAGGAGGAGGAGGAGCGAAAATGATAGTAGTAGTAGTAGTAGTAGTAGTAGTAGTAGTAGTAGTAGTAGTAGTAGTAGTAGTAGTCGTAGTAGTAGTAGAAGTAGTAGTAGTAGTAGTAGTAGTAGTAGTTAGTAGTAGTAGTAGTCGTAGTAGTAGTAGTAGTAGTAGTAGTAGTAGTAGTAGTAGTAGTAATAATAACATTAGTAATATTAATAATGATAAGAAGAATAAGAATACGAATAATAAGCATAATAAGACTAACAAGAATAATCATAATAGTATGATTCCCTACCTAGGCTCTGCCTAGAAGGGTTCTTACTCTCTTAGCTTAAAGGGGCCGGGCAGTGGAAAGCGCCCCGGGCGGTTCCCCCAGTCCCCTGGGAGCGGTTCCCCCCAGTCCCCTGGGAGCTTTTGCTTTAGCTTTAGCTTTAGCTTAGCTTTAGCTTAGCTTTAGCTTAGCTTTAGCTTAGCTTTAGCTTAGCTTTAGCTTTTAGCTTAGCTTTAGCTTAGCTTTAGCTTAGCTTTAGCTTAGCTTTAGCTTAGCTTTAGCTTAGCTTTAGCTTAGCTTGCAGCCTTAGCTTAGCTTAGCTTTAGCTTAGCTTTAGCTTAGCTTTAGCTTAGCCTTACCTTAGCTGGAGCTTAGCTTTAGCTCAGCTTTAGCTCAGCTTTAACTCAGCTTCAGCTTAGCTTTAGCTTAGCTTTAGCTTAGCTTTAGCTCAGCTTTAGCTTAGCTTTAGCTTAGCTTTAGCTTAGCTTTAGCTTAGCTTTAGCTTCGATTCAGCTTAGCTTTAGCTAAGTTTCAGCTTAGCTTTAGCTTAGCTTTAGCTTAGTTTTAGTTTAGCTTGAGCTTAGCTTTAGCCTAGCTTTAGCTTAGCTTTAGTTCAGCTTTACTGTTCCTACTAATGCTGCTTTCCTAGGGGCTCCAACTCCTAGGTAGGGTCGCACTGGGATAATGAAGGAGAATAATAATAATCATGAGAAGATGAATCAGAAGAATAATAATATGAAGAAGAAGAAGAAGAGGAGGAGGAGGAGGAGGAGGAGGAGGAGGAGGAGGAGGAGGATTGGGAGGAGGAGGGGGAGCAGGAGGAGGAGGAGGAGGAGGAGGAGAAGGGGGGGCGGCTCTGGCCAGGAGGCGCGGCGGTGGCGCGCAGGCGCCGCCTGCGGCCAGGAGGGGCCGGCAGCGCCCCGCCGCCGCGGCCTTCCGCCCTCGGCCCTCGGCCTCGCGCGGCGGCCCGCAGCGGGCCCGCGGCGCGCCTCGTGCGCGCGGGCGGCGGCGGCCATGGCGGCCTTCGGGCTTGCCGCGGGGCTCGCGGCGGCGGCGTGGCGGGGGCCGCCGGCGGCGGCCGCGGCGAGCGGCCGCCGGGGCGGCGTCCGCGCCACGGGCCTGAGGGCCGCGGTGAATCTCGGGGCCCGCCCGCCCCGCTCCACTTCGCCGGCGCTTGTCGCCGCCGCTGCCGCCGTCCGTCGTCGCCGCCGCCGCTCGTCGCCGCCGCCGCCGCCGCCGTCGTCTCTGCCGCCGTCTTCGTCGTCTTCCTCGTCGTCCCGCCTATCCTTCTCGCTGCTGCTGCTGCCCATCCTGCTCCTCCTCAACCCTCCCCCCCTTGCATCCTGATTAACTACTCTCTCTTTTTATATATATATATATATATAGATTTCTCTTTCTCTCTCTCTCTCTCTCTCTCTCCCTCGCGATTCCTATCCCTCTCCTTGTCCTGCTCCTCCTCCATCCTGCTCCGTCCCTTCCCTGATCCCAGTCGTCGTCCTCCTCGCCTGCCTCCTCTCATGGGTCTGGCTTTGGGTTTGCTGTTCCCGTTGTCCTGATATGTTGCCTACTTCTGCTATTTCTGCTCCTCTTCACTCGCCATCATCATGCTCCCCTTCTTCGCCCCTTCGCTACGGATCGTCCCCGTCGTCTTCCACTTCTTCCTCTCCCATTTGTTCCTCTTCCTCCTCCTCCTCCTCCGCAGTGCCTCCTCCCCCTCCCCCTCCACCTCCACCGTTGCCATCTCGGCTCAAGCGTGCAGCAGCGCACGTGAGAGCGGGCATCCTCGCTGATGAGGTTGTCTGGCGCGTCGGGCGCTAGCGGGCAGATTTGATGCCACGGCTCCTCCCTGCATCCCAGCCATGGCCGCGCGGGAGGGCTGCGGCGGAGTCGTGTTCTGGTGAGTCTCAGGACGATGGCAATTACAGCAAGAAGGGTGGCAGTGGCGAGCGCGCTGGTGGCAGGCGCCCTGGTGCTGACGCCATGAGGAGTTCATTCCAGAGTCGGGATCCCTGGCGCGGGGGCAGCTGCTGCTGGCGACTTCGGCTCCAGCCACCGCAGTCGAAGTCCCCGCCCGAGGGAGTCCTGCAACGGCGGGAGATGTGGTCGAGCGAAGCATGTCCGACTTATCTAACGAGATGCAAAAGCACTTGAATTGCGCGTTCGCCTCCAACGTGGTGTCCGCGCGCCCAGAGCTTGGCTCCATGCTGGACGCCAGAACTGCGCCACACGCACACGACTGGATCAGCAGGCGGCGGAGCTGGCGCGGATCGCAGCAGCATGTCTTCCTACAGTCGGTTGTTGTAAGAAAAATAGGAAAACAAATGCACACATTGTTTGTTCATTATGAGAAAATCGTACCCAGACGATTGTGGACTATGTTTGAAGATTCCTCCTGTAGAGAGACACGCCCTGTAGAGAGACAGGGCCTGGAGAAGGAGCCGGCGGGGGCACAGGCGGCCGTCGAAGCCCTGCGGTCCACGGCGGCGGTGGTGGAGGCACGGCTCACAGATCCCGTCGATCCTGCCAGGCCCGCCGAGTGGAGTACAGTCGGGCCGCGGAAGTGAACAGTGGGAAACCGACCCCAGCCCCCACAACTATGGATTTTACATGTCAGCGTTTTGCGCTGGCACGAGCGCCCGAATATCCACAATCATTTTGGGCGTCGACCGCGTGCCAGCACAAGGGTGCGCCAGGTTCAAACGCCAATGAGCATAGCAGCAGCGCGCCGTTCGCGTTGAAATGCACGGCGTTGTCGTTGGCTGACCGTCGAGCAGTTTCCGCTTGCAGTTCGCGCGTCCTTTGACGGTCCCGCTGGTTTAAAGTTCCTCATGTGGGTGGCGGGGGTCGTTTTTTTTTCCATGCGTTCAGACAGGAGGAACCCTTTGTCGTTGGGAAGGAACTCGGTGTTCCAAACTTGTTTTGCACTTGTCTTTAGGTGCCCCTCAGGATTCCGATGGGAAGTCGTCGTGTAACGTGTGGAAAAGTAGTATCGTTCCTTATTTCGGGTCCCTTATGACAGAGCTTCGAGTATACAGTGAACGCCCATGCCAAGAAACACCCTGCTTGCCTCTAATGTACCCTGGGTTTCTTGGGTTTCGATGGTTTTGATATCGAGAGCTCGGCGTTCCCTCGCCAAAAATCAGTTGACGTCCTGGGGTCTCAGGGTTGGGTTTCTTGTGGAGGGTTCCTTGTGGTCGATCCCCTACTGCACAGTCGGGCCGCTGAAGAAGGAACCCTTTTCGTTGGGGAGGGGCTCGCAGTTGTCTTAGGTGTCCCTTTGGTTTTCTATTGGAAAGCGTCGCTTGACGCATTGTAGAAGTTGCGCGAAGTCGGGCTTGTGAGTTTACGTGGTCGCGCGCGGAGCTTGGACTCATATTTGCTGATCGGCCGCCATCCGCTTCTTTAGCATAAGAAAGGGTAACAAACATCGCCTCGTTCCTTGTCTAGGGTTCCTTCTGACAGCGTTTCGACAGTGTGCCCATCGGTCCTGCCGTGCTCGCCCCCTCATGCGAGGCTCCTGCTGCCGGTGGCGAGGCGCGGGCGGCCTTGGCCGAATGGCTCCTGACCGCCGGCGCCGCCGCTGATCAGGCCGAGCTCATCGGTGGCGTCCCGCAGTGGCGCTTCCACTTGCACTGCCCAGGAGGCTCGGCTGGCGTCGCGCGAACTCTGGAGCCCTGCTGGCTGCCCTCGCGCTATCCGGAGGGGCGCGGCGCAAGTTCGAAGCGGCCGCGGCCTCGGGCAAGCGGGTACTTACGCGCGCCCATGGGGGCAAGAGCGGCGAATGCATCCGACGAGACACTCCGACGAAGAAACTGCTCGGTTCGACCATGTTTGCCGCGCAGGACCAGGGGTGCTTGGCTCGCAGGCAGATGGCCCTCGTCCGCGCGGGCTCGGCACCGGTCGTCGAGGCGCAAGTCGGCGGGCGCGGCGAGCCCGCGAAGTTGGCCTGGGGCGCCCCCGCGGCGAACCGCGTCGGCCCCGACCGGCAGGAGATCGCGAAGAAATTCCAGGAGCTCTGGCGGCCTGGCGCGAGGTGGACATCGCAGGCTGGGCGTCTTCTCAGCCGAAAGTGGGCTCCGTGGGAGCTGAATGCCTCCTCCGAGGGTCTTGCGGCGGCGACGTGGAACGCCCGCGGCCTGCCCGCGCGTCGGGGCTCTGGCAGGAGGAGACAGACGGTCAGCGCGGTGGTGGAGTTTCTTCGACAGCTTCGCGGCGCTGATGCAGGTGGCCCACCGCAGCGAAGAGACGCTTCGCAGCTACCTCGACCAGTGCAACGCCCACTGCACCACGTATGATGGCGCTACTCATCGGCCAGGCGCGGGAGTGGTCGCTTTCCTGATTCCCTGGCATGGCCCCGAAGCTGTCGCATCAGTCTTCTCCGACGCCCTCTCGAGCATCCGACGTCGGTCGCTGGAGAGGGGCCGGGCATGACATCAGCCCGAGCAGCAAGTGCATCACGAAGATCACGAATATTCACAACTTAGACACATCGGCCAATGGGGCGGATCACATCCGCCGCGCATGGAAGGACGCTGCTCCGCGGGCTCACGGGGGCTCCCTGCGCGGGGCGTTCGTCGCCGCGGGCGACTTCGACGTGGCCGATGCGCCGTCGGGGTCGCAGTTGCGCCCGCTTCCTCGACGATTGCAACGCGTCGGCGCTGGGCGCGCCGACCGCTCGGGGCCGCGCTGGGCGGGGCTGTCCAGCGGCCCGCGCATTCAAGATATCTGTTCGCCATTGCCCGCAAAATGCACGGAGGACAACGGGGCGCTGCGGACCATTGACAGGTTTACGTCACGCTCGAGTCGTCGCCTGCCGCGGAGACCGAGCGGGGCGCGCAGGCGGCGCGCGACGCTGCCTCATTTCATTGGGCGCGAATCAGTTCGGCGCCCACGCGAGTCTCAAGCTGCGACTGCGAGCGAGGAAGCCGACCCCCGCGCGGCGCATGATCAAGCCGATCTAGCAGCGGGCAGCCATCGGCGGGGGGGCGACGGCGCCGGCCGCGCAGACGGCGCGCAACGAGCTCCGAGCCATGGAGGTCATGCGCGACTCCTGGCGCGGGAAGTCAGGCTCAGCCCGTGGCCCGCAGCTCGATGGCGAGGGCTGTCGGCGCGCCCGTCGGCGCCGTGGAGTTCGGCATCGCCGACGCCCGCGCCTGCCCGCTTAGCCCCGATGGCCTCCCTGAGAAGCGCCCCAAACGGCCGCCCAAGCGCGACGCGGAGGTCATGATGAAGCGAGGGTTCCCGTGACATTCGACAAACAGGGCGCCGGGGCCGCCGGGGGCATGCCGCGCGCAATCCAGGGGGGAGGGCGGCGCAGAGGGGATCGTCGCGCGGGGCCCCGCGACCGTGATCGCGGAGCTAAATTGGCGTCGGCAGCTCAGGCTCGCCGTTCCGACCGCCCAGGAACACCTGATCGGTCCTACTCTGGATCAGCGCGTGCCCGGCCTTGGCGGCGCTCGCCGCCCCCCTCCTTCGCGCGGCGATCTCCGCCGTGCTTCGAGGAAATCCCAGGATTCACCGCCCGGGCTTGATCGTCTTCCCGCGCGCGCGCTCGGCGCGGCCATCCCATCCTCGCTGGAGCCGCGCGCGGAGCGCCATGTCAGATGGCTCGCGGCCACCGCCCGCCGCCGCGTTTCAACGTGCCTTCCTCCCGACAGGCGAGAAAGCCGTTGGCGCGGCCGACTGCGCTCGGACCCCCGCGCGCATTCGACCCCTGGCTGTGAAGAGCTCCTGTTGCGCGGCTGCGGCGGCCGCCATCGACCTTCGCAGTCGGGGATAGTGGCCAAGGGCGACCGCTGCGCGGGCCTGCGCGTCGACGCCGAATGTCGGCGCGTTGGCCCCCGCCCCAGCGCAGACAAGCGATTCCTTGGGTCTCCTGTCTCCGAGGCTGCTTGTCCGAGCATGTTCCGATTCCCCCATCCGTCTTGCCGTCGACTGGTTCGTCCGGCTGGCTGCCCGCGCGCCGCTGCTTGGAAGTCTCGCCCGCGACATTGCAGGGCATGCTCGCGTCGGGGAAGCTCTCGAGCTGTTTCTCCCGTCATGCCAGGCGCTCCGCAGGAGTGTCTTCTGTCGGGGAGTCTCTCGGGGCTCTTGGGTTCGGTCCTTTGGTCGTCGGGCGCCCGCGCGGGGCTTTTCCGATTGCT